GCTGAACGCCTTAAAGAGACAGCAGCGCACAGGTTTAGTCAGTTTGCTTGATCCCTGACCTATCACACTCACCGTTCTCTTGAGGGTCCGGAAGGAAGAGATTCGAGGTTTGACTGTCTTATTGATTTCCATCAAACAGTACGACAGGGGGTCCCGGCCAAACTTAGGGGAGGGTGGTCCGTTAGCGGGCGAGGGGGTGGGGGTTGTGGAGAAAGGACTGAGTGAAGACGAGGGGAGCTAGGACAGACACCAGGCACAAACCAAGAGGAACACAGGGACAGGACAGCAGGACAGGGATGGTGGGAAGGATAGGGAAGGGTAAAAACAAACAAAACACAAATGACAAGGGAAAAGAAAGAGACACCATCAAACACCTCAAAGCAACATCAAAACTGCAACGAGGACAACACTGGACCAACCTCAGCAAGAGCCAAGAGAAGCAAGACAGAGAATACCCAAACCCAGAACAACCCCAAATCCACAAGCCCCAACAACCAGCAATGCAATCAGCCAGATAATGCAGCAAACAATGGCTCCATCAGAAAGCAATTAATTCTTGGCCTTGTTCAATGGATCTTGTGGCTTTCAAGTGATGTTGGAATGATCGTGAAGATAAGATTAACGTACATGAACGGCACCACAAAAACTTTTCAAGTTGTGGTCATATCAATTACTTTACCATGGTGAAGCTAATTGTTATTCGTCATAAATAAGTTTGTACAAACTTTGTGTACTGTTGATGAAAACCAGCTATAAAGCTTTCCAAAAAAATTAAAGTGCCAGGATTGTGTCATGGACTACCCATCATTCCCCAAACTACCCAAAAAAATTCCTAGCAGTCTCATGGCAGCACAAAAATTATGGCATAAACTACACGCCTATTGTGAATCCACTGATCTTCATTTTGTTGTCTAGTGCTAAAAAGGTTCCTGTCTTTGTCAGAAAAAATACACAGACATTACACCAAAATATCTGTTTAATTCCAACCAAAGTCACTTGAATGCACATCACACTGAATTCATGATAGTAAAACTTATAAGTAGGAACTTCTCAGGAGAATTTGTACTGTTTGCAGAGTAAGAATCTTCAAATGTAAACAATCTCAAAAAAAGCTAATTACTATTACGTTTTTTCCCACCCCATTATGGATCTAATAAGTGGAGCCACTTTTTGCCCAATCTACATTCAGAGGCTTCTGTTGAACTACATAGCAACAAAAAGGCCTGAACATGAAAGGAATCCTAATATTTCAGTGAATTTGCTATGCATACTACCTCTGTTCCAGAACCAAGTGAGCTGTCTACAAAGGCAACCTCACAGTTGAGCCAACAGTTCACAGTTGATTTCAAAAGTAACTTAGCTAATAAGCACAAAAGAGTATTTGAAGAATATAAGTAACTAATGCTCACAGATTGATTCAAAGAGTCTGGCATTAGCTTGTGGCTAAGCTAACAACTTCCTATCCTTACACAAAAACACACTACAGTAATACCGGATAAAATCATGCATTAATTAGATGGAATTATCTATTTTTAAATATATATATATATTATTGATTATTGGTGTAGGATAAATGTGATGCTGCTTTCAATCATGTCCAAAATTAGACATCTTACATGGCAGCATAATTTTTTCCCTACTGTTTGGATTAACTTTTACACTGGGAGTGCCTGACACAAAAAAATTATAATTTCTAGGTGGGCAGCTTACTAAGTGGAACAGAGCAAATAGGTTTCAGCTTTAAATCTAAAATTGTGTCAAACAATCCACCAAATATTTATGGGTAAACGAATGAAGGCTTGGCGCTAAATAAGTATTTCCCCACAAATTGGTTTTAGCTTCTCAACATAATGACTGTCTCAGCCAGAAAGAAAACATGCACAAGCGAGCAAAAAGTGAAGCAACAAGGAATGAAGGAAGATGTTTGATTTTAACTACTAAGGATAGAGGAAGAAGGAAGCAGATTTGCAGTGCAACTTTGGTTAAAAAATAAAAAAAAAACAATTCCATATTTACCAACTTGCAAGGAAAATAATGGATCTGCACAATGATTAGGACTGATTAGGAGAAGACTGGACATTTAAGCTGGCAAGCGCTGAGGGTCATGTGAAAAAGCCTAATGTGTTGAAGAAGCAGGAAACTACATTATTGTAGGAGCAGGAAATTATGTTATTAATATGAAGATGAAGTGTTCTTAGAAAACACTTTAGACCTATATAGGCCTCTGGGACAAAGAGAGATCCATTGAATCCTACGCACAGCTCTGAATCATCACATGACTGAAGAGAAGAGAATGTTTTAGTAATGCTTTGCCTCCAACCCTCATTTTAAGATGATTTTTCTCCTTAACAACTTAACCAGATGCAACCAAGCATCTATCCTGATGACACAGAGTGCACAAAGGTGTCATTGTGATGAGACTGAAGGATATATTATACAGCATATAATAGCAGTAGTGTATGTGTGTTAAGGCCCATGGCAGAGGGAGAAGTGTCCCAAAGAAAAGCACAGACGCAGCAGAATGAGCACTGGGTCACACGCTGAGCTAAACAACAGAGCTGGGGGCTTTTCCATCCCCACTCACAGCTAAATAGCCATGCAAAGGGTGCATACTGGAAAACCTTAAGGATCTGTTTTGGGTACATCAGAAAGACTGAGAGTAAGGGGTGAGGAAGGGTGAAGGTAGATTGAACCATCATGCATCTTTCAACTGTGGCAGGGAGACAAAGGGTGCAAGAAACCACAGCTTTGGATCTAATACCTTTTCTAGTCAGACCTCTCAAAGACTTGACCACAAATCAAACAATGACTTGCCTTCAAATCATCTCAAACCAGTCTGTTACCTTTCAGACTGTGACTCTCCTCTCTCATCTTATTGCGCAGAAGTGTCCAATCCTGATCCTGAAAGGCCACCTTCCTGTAGACATTAGCTTTATTAAACTTGAACCAATTATTCAAGGTTACTAGAATCTTCCAGACAAGTGTGTTTGGAGCTAAACTTGGGATGGTGGTTCTACAGGAGCAAGATTGGACAACTCTTCAGGAATAGGTACTGTAGAAAACCTGCAGATGCAGATTCTGATGGCTGGGTTCCAAATTGGTTCTAGCTGGTAAAATAATGGTCATGGCTCATTTAGATCAGGGGTGTTTAATCCTGCTCCAGGGGGGCCACCTTCCAGCAGAGTTTAGCACCAGCCCCAATAAAACACACTTGATCCAGCCAATCAAGCTCTTCAGTAACACTAGAAACTACCAGGCAAGTGTGTTGGAGCTAAACTCTGCAGGACGGAGCCCTCCAGGAGCAGAATTGAACAGACCTGATTTAGATGGTTGATCAGCACGGACAAGCTGATGGGATCTGGTTGAGTTGAGTAAACTAAGCTTTGGCAGGGCTTTTCCAGCAGGGTAAAAGAGAACTTTCCATCTCCACACAAAACAAATCAATTTCATCAGAAGGAACTCTGCCTTCAGAGAGTAGTGAAGCCTACCTTGCTCTTCTTATTGAACAACCGGAATGTTTTATTCTTGTTCTTGCCCAGCAGCTCTAGAGGACCTTTAGGAGTGCCCAGGCTGCTGTCCGAGGAGGCCCGGTTTATGCCCTGACTGTAATCCTCGAACTCCAGATCTCCTGGTCTCTCGAAGCCAGACTTGTGTTGCTCTATAAGAACCACAGAGTCCTGAATAACACAGAGAAGTGTTAGCTACTCCATGTGTTGGCATGCAGAGGGTTGTCTGCTCTCTCAAAGTGGCTGCCTTAATTCAAGGGTGTCTAATCCTTCTACCAGAGGGCCAATGTCCTGCTGAGATTAGCTCCAACCTGCCTGATCACATTTGCCTGGAAGTTTATTAGCTGGTTCAGGTTTGTTTCATTAGGATTGGAGTTGAACTCCGCAGGATAGTGGCCCTCCCAGAGAAGCATTGGACACCCGTGATTTATTGAGAGCAGGAAACGAAAGAGCTTTTCTTAAAAACACAACTGAGAACTCACATTCCTCTCGTTGACATTCGTGCCAGCTCTGGCTATGCCCTCCAGACACTTCCCGATGATGGGCATGACGTGACGCTCCGTGTCTGCAAACAGGACGTAACCCTGCGCCAACTTTTTGATACGTCGTTCATCCATGTCCTGCAGCCTCTGCAGTGACCAAACATACATATCAGTATGCACTCCGCAAGACTGCCTGGGATCATTCCTTCAGTAAGCTGAGAGGAACAGATGTGTCTCAACATGTTAGAACTGAGGCATGTGCTTCTTACATTGAAACTAAGAGGCATGTCCGTGAAGTAGAACTGATTCTGTTCTTTGTTGTACTTTTGAAGTTGTGAAGCGTAGTCGTTTTTACACTCCTCTGCTATGTGCGTTCGCATATGAGCCTGCTGTTTGGCCTACATTTACACGCAGAAGTAAAGATAAAGTGATCAGATACCGGTACATAAAGAGGAACAAGGAAACAACAATAACGCATTTGGATATGATGGAAATGTGATGGTAGGATGGAGGGATGTGCATGCAAGGGTGTGGCAAGACCTGTGAAACCTTTTGGGGGACATAAATACCTTCTCCACGTCAGCTTTGGTGGCATTGAGGTCCTGATCTGTTTTCTCTGCATATTGAGCAGCCTTCTCTGCTTCTCTCCACTCCCTCTCAAATCGCTTTTTACTCTACCACGAAAATAACATCCACCACATGAATCAAAGCGTTTACATACACAATGCTATTATTTTACACCCAAATTAAGATTGTGTCATCATTTCCTTTCATGTTGTTCCAAACCTATTTCATGTTATTTCTTCCACAGACATATCACTACTGGCTATGACAGACAAAACAAAGGCTTTTTGCACCACTGAATTCAAGCTCGCTCCTCATGTCCCTATATAGTGCACTATGTGCCATTCAACAAATAGAAAAGAGTAATTGTGTAAACAAGAGACTGATTTCAGATGCAGCTGCGTCTGTAGAGGGCAGAAAGCTTCAGATTCTAGAGAGAATTTGATTAAAAAGAACATCTAAAAAGCTGCTAAAGTGAAGAAAGGTTTTATCAAAAATGTTGGTCTGTATTGGTGGTAGAGAGACCATACTTTCGAATGCATATATCGCAACACATTTAAATTCTGTTGTTATGTGCCATATTTCTGTGAAATAGAGCGGAATATTTCACTTGAAAACAATGCAGTAGGAGTGAAACATTTTAATATACAATATTATTGGATAACACTATTTCCCCACCATTGTTTGACCGGTTACCGGTTAGTGGAAAAGAGACTATAAAATCTGGATAAAACACGAAAAACATTTTTTTTTAACTATGGACATTTATAAATAAATATGACAAATTGTGAATATGTTATCTTTAAAGTTGTCTGAAATATCTGCTTATTGTAAACCAATTGGTAAATTTCAGCTGCTTCAAGAGTATTTGAATGTGTGTCTGTTTACACTCCTGACCCTCACCTGACCAAACACAATGGCCACAGAAACGATCAGCAAACAATCCCTTTCAATCCCCCGATACAACCCCACACTGAGCAGAAACAATACATACAAAAGAGCACACTCCACACAGTCAGCGCTTACGCCACAAAGAGACGTAACGCAAGCCTCTGACAGAGATGTAATCTCATCAAGGGCATTCTGATCTGGCTGTTCAACGACACGCTCAAAGACACAGTGGGACACACCACCCACAACAGTCTCCTTCACAACCTGTCACAGAGAGAAACTTACATTGTCAAGCTGCTTGTAGGTGCCCTCCAGATACTGTTGTGCTTTCTTGGCTTCTGACAGATGCTGCACGTTATAGAGAAAAAGAGAGAGTGGAATCATGGTCAGTGTGCTTTGGGCTTTCTAACATTAAATAGACATCCAGATTTTTACATTTTCTGAAGAAAAATATGAGTGCTGCTCGCTTCAACATGAAGTCTATGATTCATGAGTTTAAAGTCTGCATGAAATGGAAATTCACTTTTTTAAATGTATTTTCTGAATGCATGTTATAGATCTTATTATGAACGATTCATCCATGCATAGGTTTATTTTTTTGTGTGTCTTTGTGATTTTTAATTAAAATCACTCAAAATGCCTAATCTTTTTGTCTGCTTAAACCCGCCCCTTTTTTACGATTAACTGTAAGCTCACATTCAGAACTGCCTCCATACAATCAACAACCAATGGACAGAAACAAGTCCCTGCCCTGCTTTCTTCTTTTTCGAAAATCCATTCTACTCGAATGTATATCACAATACAGCAGAAAAGCTCTGGTCTCTACATTGCATTTCATCGCGACTTTACAGAGTGGTTTTCCAGGGTCTTGCCATATGGTTGCTAAGGTGTTTTGAATGGATTTTCATTATTGCTAGTATGAAGCTCCAGTTAGATGCAAGGGAGGTCGCTTGGTCATATACAGGTGCATCTCAATAAATTAGAATGTCGTGGTTTTTGTTAAATGTGAGCCAAAATCATCACAATTAAAAGAACCAAAGACTTAAACTACTTCAGTCTGTGTGCATTGAATTTATTTAATACACGAGTTTCACAATTTGAGTTGAATTACTGAAATAAATGAACTTTTCCATGACATTCTAATTTATTGAGATGCACCTGTACAAATAGTTGCTAGGGTGTTTGTTTACTGGCCCACCTAAAAGTCTCTGACATCCTTAGCTCTAGATACTCAGGTCGTTCCTTCTATGTATATCTATGTGATTTTTTTCACCCATTTTGTCATCTGCCAGGCAAAAATATGATGCTTACAAAAGAAATGGCACCACTCTCTCAAACAAAGCATATTTACCTCATAAATCTAATGTCATAAAATCATGTCTGCAGCAGAAACATGTTGGGTGGAGTTTAATACTTAGGGTTAGCCATTTGTTCAAATCCCTAACTCTAAGTATGAGCAATGGTAATAGCGATGTTTGCCTTAGGAAGCACTAACAATAAAACAGTGTCCCATAAATTACGAGTGACAAACAAGAGGAGACAGCTGAGGTTATATGGTGAGCATCTACTGTTCTTTATGAAGATCACCAACACATTCCTCTGACAGTGTTGCACAAATCAAACTGAGACTTCCACCCCAATAGACTCGAATGTTTCTTCTCAAACAAGCAGTGTGACATGTTCTTCTCTGCCTCATGCCCACAATCCCCCTCTCTGTGTCCTTCCAGGCCCTCTGTCCCACAGCATACTTTATTTTAAGCCTGGCCCAGTTTCTCCGTCTGCCTCTCTCATTCTCTCACCATCTTGCGCTCCTGTTTGAGCTCTTGCAGGTACTTTGTGAGCTCGATGCAGATATTGATCATCATGTTCTCAGCGATCAGCTCCCTCTGGCCCGCATAGTCGTTCACCTCATTCAGGATGTCCAGAAAGGCCTGGTGATTGGAGAACCTAAAGAAAAGTGATACGAATGAGATACAATGTGCATTGGTAGTAAACGTGACCTATTCAGTCATTTGTGATTACTGCAATTTGAAAAATCATGCTCATTTGAACCACTTAACTTATGAATCATTAATTTCAGAGCAATTTGGGAACTGGTTTGACCAAAACAAACTTCACTATGGGTTGCATGCAAGTTTTACTCAATGAATCAGATGTATGTATCAAAGTGTAACCATAAAAAATAAAAAATAAAATAAATAAATAAATATTCACCACCATGATTTTAGGATTTTACCAACTTTTCCTGGCCTAAAATCATTTCATTATTCTTGTACAAATTATTATATATGCAGTTTTTATGACCTTATACATTTTATATACACTTTTACCTTGTTATATTTTGTGGAATAACAAGGTGAAAGTGTATATAAAGTATTTAAAAAAACAGGGTATCTGCAGGTTTTTAAGCTCAAATTTAAGACTTTAAGACCCGCACAAATAAAATTAATACCATATGAGCAGGGTAGGGCAATGTCTATGGTAACATATTAAACTGCAAAAAGACTGTAAAAAGTATGATTTACAGTTCAGATACAGGTTTTCACAAAAACGACAAGTTTTATAAAATGATAAACTGCGCATTTCAACCTTTAAAACATTTAAAAAAAAACGGATGGGTCAAAATGATAAATTATTATTATTATATTCATTTAAAACAATTATTATCAATCAATTAATTATATTAATTCAATATCATATAAATATATTTTACTGTCTTAAAGGGGTCATATGATGCGATTTCAATTTTTCCTTTCTCTTTGGAGTGTTACAAGCTCTTGGTGCATAAAGAAGATCTGTAAAGTTGCAAAGACTAAAGTCCCAAATCCAAAGAGATATTCTTTATAAAAGTTAAGAGTCAACCACGCCTACCTAAAACGGTTCGTTCTAACACGCCCCCCACATGTCTACGTCACGATGTGGGAAGATTTGCATAATGCTGCCCAAATGTTCACGCAAAGAAAGAATGCGTAACTTTTATTCTCGCTGTAGTATTGTTGTTGCCGCCGCCGCCATGTCGTGAAGGCGCTGTGTGTTTCGTTGTGAAAGCGAAACTACTTTGGTTGGCCTTCCAAAAGTGGACGATATCCGCTTCGTCATGCCTGGAGCTGATCCGTGCTGGTCGCTGAGGGAATACAACAACTTTGCGCTGTCGATCGCCGGATCGGCTTTCACCGTGGACGAAGCGGAGTCCAGCCCAGGGTCGTCACATGTGGCTGCCGCAAGCCCGCCAGACGCTCCTTCGTCGAATCCGCCGGCCGCACCGCTCTCAAGCCCGCCTGCCTCTGCTCACTCAAGCCAGCCTCCGCATACTCTAGGCCGCCGCTCATTCTAGGCCTCCAGCCTCCGCTCACTCAAGGCCGCGGTGTGTGACGCTTTTTCGTTGTGAAAGCAAAACTACTTTGTTTGGCCTTCCAAAAATGGACACGACACTTTAAACCGCATAAACACATTTCATTACACCAAATACACAAAATAATGTTCTTTTTAGCAGCATCACATGATCCCTTTAATTGTTTCGATCTTCATAATGCATTATCTTCTTGTCGATCCACCAGTTCACATTTACAGCTTTGCGAGTTTACTGCATAAAAACATGGGTTGATTTGCACATTGATCTGAACAAAAACAGCAGACAGGCTTATTGAAAATGCAAATTCATTCTCTGCCAGCAGGAGGCGCTTTCAAAAGTTTACAAAAATATTTTTATATTTCTAATATAAATATTAAATATTACAAAAAAATATTACAAAATATAAATATATAAAACTTTAACATACAAAATATACAGTATATAAAATATGATTTTTATGACAATAACAACCAATAACATCATAGCTCGCTTTCACAATCCAATAAAACCCTGATGAATAAAAAATATTTTTAGTTTCACTTTGAAATACACCACATTACAGTGGTTCAATGTGTTGCAAATGTAGTTTCATCATGGCTGATTTAAATAGTACCTGTTTTCCATGAGTGACTTCATTAGTTTTGATTTCCAGAGGGAGCATACGTAAAGTCATTTACAGGTGTATGCGTTTGTTTGTTGAGTTCATGTGCTTTTGTTTGGAGTCGGCAACAGCCCCATAGGTACTGCTGCTCAGTCACCGTAGCAACATCAGACATAGCTCAGCGTACCACAGTGATCTGATTACAGTGACTGGGGATTTGTCAGCTTTCTTCTCTGATATCCCATTGTTAATGTTAGACAGTTCACTTGTCATCACAATTGTGAGGAAAAATAAGTCAATCATGCAGCTTTGGAAGCATGCAAAATTACCTGCATTCCTGCTCTTCTTTGCTCCCTCGTTTAGGGCTGTATTTCTTAGATAAATTCCTAGGAAACAGAAAAAAGACAGTGCCTGATGGATCAACTACATCATAATAATGTCATTTGCAAGCGTTCAGTTTCAAATAGCAAACGGTTGCATAATATGCCACGCTGCAGTAGTCCTGCTAGAGCAGGTGGTTGTGAAGCATTTACATGTGACATTGTGTGCAAAGTAGGCCTGTCGCGATAATTAAATAACCGTCTAATTGTGGCACGAGCGCATGATTTGGGCGCAATTTTTTTTTTTTTTTTGCGCTACAACATGGGATTATTCAATGCATGCCGATGAACTTTTACCATAGTTTATAGTTATATGGAAACGAAAGTGGTTAACATTCAACCAAAATGCTTTATCATCAGTAGTATTATTTGCGATTTAAATTGTGTGAATGGGAGTTTGCTGTATTATATACCGACTAATAAATTACAGAACGTTTAGCAAACACTGAGGAATCAAATAAATAAATAAATAAAAGAGAGCCTCCATAGCTTAATGTGAAGTAAACAGCAAATATAACAAGCTTTTTACAAATGAAAACAATAAGAAAAGTAAAGCTAACGTGACAGTGCTTGCATGTTTTTTCCCACACAAGAATACCAGCATGTTCACCTTCTCTTGCAGCGCTTATGAGTTGACCAAAGCGGTGACCAACGCACACAAAATTTTGTCGCACAGGCAGAAAAAATGGTCGCAGTCTGGAGCCCTGCTATATCATCTGAAGCCATTCCATATCTTAATGTGAGGGACAGAATTTCAGTTTACAGAAACTCATCTTCCTTCTGCTGCAGCTGTCAGTCATTCTCCGCTCATCATTCAAACAGCACGTCACGTTCAGTTATAACAGTCAGCATAAAACTCTCTCTCCAAGATGATATATTCCCATTATAATACTTTAAGGAAGGAAGGAATGATCATAAACAGAAAGATTATTAGAAGCCTTTTGAGTATTTAGTGGATTGTGTTTAACAAAGGGTTTAAAAGAGTGACCATTAGTTCCACAAACACAGTATTGATATTCTGTAGTGGTGTAGAAAGAAAACAGTGCTGGTGTTGGATCGGTATTGGCCAATTCTTAGAATTTGGAATACTCTATGCAATCTTACACTGCAAAATAATAACTCAAAAAGATTAAAAGATAACATCATAATTATTTACTGAACCCTTAAATTAATCAATTATATAATGAAAGCCATAAAAACAGAAAATTAATCGTGATAATCGGCATAATCGACAAAGCCCTAAAACAGACAATTAATCGCAATAACCGTGACTATTTTTTAGACAATTAATCGTCAGCCAAATTTCATAATCGTGACAGCCCTAGTGCAGAGCATTTGTTCTTTCCAAAACACAGACATCAGGGTATTTGGGGTATGTCACACGGAAATTTTCTTTAATTTTCTTCCCATTTCACTAATCAGGCACAAAGGGAGTTTCCAGTGTCAAACAATTTTTCTCTCTACACTGAATGTGAAAACACTGCGTGACGTGGCATGATCACAATCAGAGAATGTTTATATTTATTTTACAGTCATCCTGAAGCAAGATTTTGGACGAATGAAAGTTCACTGTGGGCAAGCACAACAATACAGAAATATTGCAGGAATATATCAATGACAAGACACTATTTCTTTGTCTGGCCCTATTACATTTTTTTTTTAATACATTAGAAATGGCATTCATACATACATTGACTTACAAACAACTCTTATATGATATTTTGGTGTCCTGATGTCATAATGAACAAAAGAAAAAAAAAAGCTTATCAAGTAGTTTGGCAAAATCTTTTTATTATTGTTTCCTAGAAAAAAAAAATGCTTATTAATATTTGGGGGAAAAAAACATGCGGAACGGTAAGTGAGGCAACCAAAATGCAGAAAAAAAAAATATAAAAAATTATATAATACAGAGCACCCCTGCAGACTCTCATGTCCAAAAAAATATTAGAATTTATTTTTTGTGTGTTTTGGGTGAAAAGGCAAGGCAAGTTATGTGGTGTGACACGCAAAAATGATTTTTATATTTTCATATATTTGGAAATATAGTTTTTATTCAATGTGTAAGAAAATATATTAATATTTTTACTTAACTGTTATATACGACATGACATTTTTGGAGTCCTTAAAGGGATAGTTCACCCAAAAAGGAAATCATTGACCCACATGTCATCAGTTACTCACCCTCATGTCATTTCAAACCTGTATGACTGACTTTTGTGTTCCACAAAAGAAAGATGTTTTGAAGAATGTGGGTAACCAAAAAGTTTTGGTTCCTATTGACTTCCATTGTATTTTTTGTCCATACAATGGAAGTCAACAGAAACCAAAACTGTCTGGTAACCAACATCCTTCAAAATATCTTCA